CTACATCCTCATTTTCCTCATCATTTTCTAAGATAGTTTGATTTAGGATAAAGAGCATTCATAACTTCTTCATTTAATGTTCAACTTGTGCAACATTATGGCAAAATTCACTATCGGAAAATTGAAAACAAGGGTTATCACTATCAAGAATAATAGGAGAAGCAGGACGGGTAACAGGTCTCGGTCGGGGAGCCGGGGGAAGGGTAGTAGGTTGGAGACTACTTTCACCAATTTTAGCTTTTCCCTTACCACCAAACATTTTTTTCAAAGAAAATGCCATATTAATTACAATTATGCAAACTAAACACACAAAAATATATTCTTAAAAGTTAAGAGTTGGAACGAGTTTACCGAATTGCCGAACAACTTCTTGAAAATTGAAAATCGTTGAAGACTTGAAGACTTGAATACTTCAATTCACCAACTTCACAATTTTTCACGAAATTGCAATAGTAAAATAAGCAATTATAGAAGAGAAATTAGATATAGATTGAGAGAGATTGAGATAGATTGATGAATTGGTGAGTAAAAATGAAAGAATGAGGGGGTATTTATAGTTGAGAATTGGGGAAAAGTGTAATTATATAAAGTTTGGGGTTAAAATAAAGTTTGGGGGCCAAATGGCTATTTTTTAAAGTTCCAAACGGTTGAAAATTAAAGGCCAACGGCTAGATTTTAAAATCTGACCGTTGGCTATTTTTTAAAAAAAAAAAAATTTTTTTTTTTTAAAAATTAGCCGTTGGAGCCCGTTAGGACCGCTAGGCCCGGTTGAACCGGCCCAGGACCGCCTGCCGGTCCCGGGCTTAGCGGTCCCGGTCTCGTGGGCCTCGTGTACAAGACCGCCCGTCACGGGCTTCTTACCCATTAAGGGACCGGCCCACCAGGACCGGCCCGCCGGGACCGTTTAGCCCGTTAGGACCGCGGGCCCGGTCCGGTCCCGGTCCCAGACCGGCCCACCAACAGCCTTACGCCGATCTGGTCGAGAAGTTAAGGATCTTTGAGGCTAAAAATGTGAAGATACTTGTGATGACTAACAATGCAACCTCGCAGGTCTAAGAGAAGTTAGATTTAATCGTCCAGCTTCAGGATGAGATGGACGAGGTCAAGGCCACGATCGAGGCATGGAAGGGCAGGATGGATCTTCTAGCTTCGGAGAAAGAGGCCACAAAAGAGGAGCTGGCATCGGTCAAGGATCAACTCCGAGTGGCAAAGGACAAGGCCGACAAGTGGTCTCGGCTAAATGATAAACTCCGGGCACACCTGAACTCAGCCATTTCGGAATCGGATGCCCTCGGCCAAGAATATACTATGCTGAGGTTCAAACTAGAGGCGACTTCGATCGATTCCTCCGAGGTTGAGGAAATTCTAGCCCAGTATAAGGCTGATGTGGAGGTAGCCGATGCCCTCTTAAAGACGAAGACTGAATATGTGAATCAACTATCTCGGAAAGAGACCCTCGAGGAGATTCACGCCTGAGGTTTTAACCTTTCGACTGAGATCGAAGAAGCCAAAAAAACCGAGGTCGAGGCAAAGGAACTCTATGAGCCTGCGGGTCCCGAAGGTTCTAAGGGTTCTGATGGTTCTGATGACGAGTCGAGCACCGGTGAAGACTAGGCATAGATGCCTTAGTTCCTTGTATATTTTCTTTTTGTTTATTTTGATGCCGTTTTACCGTGCCTTTGTAAATATTTTTTAGAATATATAAAATTTCCTCTTTTGGAAACACCGTAGTTTTACCTTTCAGCATCTATTCGCATTTTTTTATCGCGTATCATTTTTATTGCCTTAGCATAAAGTCAAATATAGTCTAGAGTGTTCGTTATTCGGAGGCCCGAATGAGCCTCGATTTTGATAGCAACTCAAGATTACTCGTGGCTTCGAGTCTTCAATAAAACTGGAGGCCTCAAAGACCATTATATGTTTTAGTCATATACAACGATGTTTTTACCGAGCGTAATCTTTTAGTATGTTATATGGAAAGGCCTTACTTTTTTGGATATGAACATCGGACATCTCCGAGCCATTTTTAGGGTGGCCGTAGCCTTTCGTATTAGGACACTACCTAAATAGGCTTTGGTCCCTCCGGGATTCGATAGCCCCGGTCATCTGAATATTTTATCAGATGATAGTCCCCAAGTAGGGGTAGCTCGTGGGCTTTGGGATCTAGGATCGAAGAAGCAAAATGCGTAGGAATAAAGTATAAGGGAAGAAAAGATTTCTTTCATTACTTTATATGTAAGGTACATGATCGGAGGTCCATAGACCTAATAGTCATATTCTCCCTTGGCCAAGTACCTGCATATGTTAGTCCGTAATGTAACTAAATTAAAAAGGAATTAAGTTTGTATCTTAGCAGCAGTACCGCTTTAAGTGTGCCACGTTCTAGTTTCGTGGTAGTTGTACACCGTTTCTCGATTCGAGTTTATACTAGCCTTTGCCAATTATTCCGATGACTCAATACGGTCCTTCCCAATTCGGGCTCGGTTTCCCTTTGTTTGGGTTCTTGGCGTGTAGTGTAACCTTCCTCAACACCAAGTCCTTGACTTGAAAATGCCGGAGGTTGGCTCTTAAATTGTAGTATCTCCCTATTCGTTGCTTCTTGGCGGCCAACCAGACCAGGGCGGCTGTAACACCCAGACTTTAGATAGAGTCCCACATCGGCAAAACGCAACAGGGATGATGGGTATATAAGTTAACAAGCCTTAGACCCTAGTGACGCGTTTTAAACCCGTGAGGGCCTAGGCCCAGAGCGGACAATATCACTAGCGGGCTAGGTTGTTACATGAGTAAAGGTCACTTGAGATAGTTTGGTCATGTCCTGCATCTGCCTATGGATATACCAATTCGTAGGTGTGAAATTATGATGGGGCCCGAGAAAGTATTAAAATGGGACAGGGTAGACCTATATCACATGGAAAGATGTTGTCTCGAAATACCTACAAATCCTTGGAATCAATACAGACTTAGCTAAAGATAAGGCATAATAGAAGAGGAAAATCTATATGGGTAATACCCACTAGTTGGGAGGTTTTAGACTTAGCAGAGAACTTTTGTTATTATTATTATTATTATTATTATTATTATTGTCATTATTGCCATTATTTATGTTTTTTTTTTTTACTTATACTTTTATTTTATTTTTAGTAATGACGATGATGATATGAGCTAAGCTTAATAAAAGGAGTGAGGATTCATATCACATGTCCTAACTTGTTTCGGAATGATGCGTGGTTATTTTTGTTGTATAGCTAATGGAATTGAGTAATGACACGAGTCCATTACTCAAATGGTCACTCAACTATCTCAAGTTATCTCCTAAAGTCACTTTACTTTCGTTTGTAACAACAAATTCACTAAACTATGCCTATTGCACTCAGAAGGTCACTCAACTAGATTTTCCAAAATTTGGATTTCCAAATACCTATTTTACCCTCTAAATTATAAACATTTATCTTCTTTTTATTTTTTTTAAACTTTCTAATATTATGATTTTCCCTTTTCAATTTATATTATGGACGTATGTTATGTTAAGTCGTGCCTGGAATATATATAATATAATTGAGCATGATTTTCAAGAATATATAATGTATATTATAAAAATATTTTTATTTAAATAATTATTTTTATATTACGTGCATGGAATATATATTTTACAACAGGTATGACTGCTTCGGTACCATACACTAACAAGTACGGTGTTGCTCCAATTGATGTACGCACTGTGGTGCGATACCCAAGTAATGCGAAGGGTAACTTTTCATGCCATTGCCGGGAGCTTTGAATCATCTTCTCAAAATCTTCTTGATGTTCTTATTTGCTGCCTCGACAGCACCTATTGGCTTTTGGCCGATAGGGAGTTGAGTTTCTATGCGTTATCTTGAATTGTTCACATACCTCCTCCATNAAGAATATATAATGTATATTATAAAACTGCCTTTATTTAAATAATTATTTTTATATTACGTGCATGGAATATATATTTTACAACCTTTATTTTTTTCATTCTGAATTGTGTAAATAAATTCTTGAATTTTTGAATTTTTGTTGTTAATACTAAAATTATTATTACAAATAAATTATTCTAATTAATTCTTTTACTATACTCATTATTTTGTTATTCCAGCATTATAGATGCTTAAATAATTTTTATTTTTTTAATTTATAGAAAATATTTATTTATTCTATAGGTAAGTCCATAATATAAATTAAAAAGGGGAAATCATAATATTAAAAAGTTTTAAAAAAATAAAAGAAGATAATATTTATAATTTAGAGGGTAAAAGGTATTTGGAAATCCAAAATTTAGAAAATCTAGTTGAGTGACCTTCTGAGTGCAATAGGCATGGTTCAGTGACTTTGTTGTTACAAACGAAAGAAAAGTGACTTTAGGAGATAATTTGAGAAAGTTGAGTGACCATTTGAGTAATTGATAGGCAAGTACATCTTAAAGCATTCCTAAATGGGAAAAAGACCATTATTACCCTTGTATTATTGGCATTTAAGCACGTTTGCTCCCGTTACACTATACGTTCAATCCTCACCCTACCGTTAATAAAGTTTATGCAATTACCCTGAACCCTAACGCCTTGTCGATGTGGCAGCTGACCCCCCTCTCTTTTTTCCAAGTCAGCTGCCAACTCAGACTTCACTAACTTTTAATCCCCAAACTCAACGACAAAATCAGATTGACCAAATCAGATAATCCTTAAATTTATCTTGTGTTATTTTTTATTTTTAAGATAAAAGGAATTTTGTGGGTCCCACTTAATTTTAAACTTTTTTATCTCTTTCTTTTTCTTCTCCCTTTCTCCTCTGTTTCCGGCTTTATCTTCTCCGTCGAATTCAAAATTCAACCATTCAACTTTGATTTCTATAACAAATTCAGATCCTTTTGTTTTTATCATGTCTATAAAGAATGGGGCTTCACATCAAGATTTTGATTGATGTTGTTCCCAGTGAAAAGTACAAGATCGTAATAGTAGGATTGAAAAACGCCGGAAACCTCCATTACCACCCATGACAAACCCATGAAGATTTTGAGGTCGGTAGGAGGAATTTTTGCCACAAACAAAGGTTAAGATAAAGAAAATTCACCGATAATCTTTTGGCCAAATATGAGAGTGCTTCTTCACCGGCGGGCATTTTTCCGGCAAGACCACAAAGATGGAAAAGATTACTGGCCTGTCAATATATACGCACTGCTTTGAAAAGTCAACAGGCAATATTGTTCAATGTTGACAGTTTCAACCATTAACAATTTAGCTTATTGTCTCCCCTCATCGCATCTTTTCGACAAGCCTGCCGGAGAAGAAGAAGAAGATTAATGGCATGTCACCTTTGGGATTAATCGTAATTAGTAGTCCTGATATTTTTTTACCCAATTAGAAAAAACTCACTCTTTTTCTAATTTCATTGTCACGAACTTAAACAATTCTTGATGGGTTTTGAAAGCTTTCGGCTTGGTAGGCTATGGCGTTAGAGAAGCACAAGAAGTGATGTTGAAAAAAGAAGAAAGAGAAAAGTAAAAAAAAAGGAAAAAGGAATTAAAATAATTTATTGGGTAGTGAATTTACAAAAATGCTGACATGTATTATTACGTGGCAATTTATTTGAGAGTCCTGGGTATCACAGTGTCAAAACGTTAGGATTAATGGATTTGAACGAAAAGTGTAACTGTGAGAACTATATACAATAAAAGGACAAATTCGGACCTTTTCCCTTCGTAAATTGACCCATACGATTGGAGAACAAAGGAATATCCATTCGGGAAAGACACAAGAAAATCCATTAAGTCAAACGGTAAACCGGAAAAACCAACAGGGCCGTCGCCATTGTCACCTGATCTTTGTCTAAATTTAGCGTCTAAGTGTAGTGAGTAAAATCTTTTTCATCTCTCTCGTCAACGCTATCATCATCATTCAACTCCTTTTCTTTCTCTCTCTGTGAAAGTATATTACGCCTTTCTTCATTTCCGCATATTCTGTCTGCAAAAGAATTATCAGATTTTCTGCAATCAAATCTCAAAAGCCTCAAAAAGTTACAGACAGAGAGAGAAAGGGAAGGAAAAAGAAAAACATTGCAGCCCATTAACTACAATTATTATTCCCTCCCTTTCTCTCTCTCTCTCTCTGTCTTTTATATTTGCCAGCTCGTCTTCTCTTCTCTGTTGTACCCTTTTCTTTATTCTCTCTCTATCAACACGTTCACAAAGATGTCCTGAGGTGCGTTTGACTCTTCCCGTATTTTGATTAATTCTCGTTGATTTCTTGTTTATTGGATTCTATTTGATATCTACATTTTAATATAATTTTTTGTTTAGAGTTTGTTGTTTTGATTTCTGCCCATTTGGTTTTTTGTTGTTTATTGGTTAATGTTGGTCTTGTTTATGTTAATCTAATGAGTAATGATGTGGTTTCTTCATTACTCTAAGTTTATGTATTGATTGATTAAGCAATTGTCATTTGATATGAAGAATATGTTTGGTCTGTCAATCTTTTGAAATTGGTTCTTGATATTTAATGCTAGTTTTGAGGGTTTCTTGTGGTTTTAGAGTCTAATTCTGGAAGTAGGATATTTTATTAGCTAAATGTTCCATGCAGCTGTGGTTATTAGCTATGCTTGAACTCTCCAATAATGCAACCAGGTGCGTGTCGGATCCTCACATTTTGGAGGATCCGACACGGATGCGGCAGCATTTTTGGAGAGTTTGAGCAACATTAGTTATTAGGTAATCTCACAATAGATCATTAGTTGTTGGGGGTGCAGTTTAGGGTGAGAAAAATATGGTTTCCCTTGCTTTGAGTTCTAATGCAGATTAGTTTATTGAAGGGGATCTCTTTCTCCTACCAGGCTAGGGTTATTCAATAGTGGACGGAATGAGTTGGCCCGTGACTCATGCTCCCCCTACCTGCATTTACTGGTGGAGTAATTGAAAGTATCAACTTTTATAGGCTACTGTTGAATGTGATGGGTCAATTAAAAGATCGAACTTCGAGAAACGCTCTTGAAAGTAAGGTACAAGATTAGACAAGAATCAAGATCAGAAATGCAATAGTTGATGGAAGGTACAAGTAATATACATGAGGATAAAAAGAGATAAGGTCGCATGAGATGGTTTGGCCATGTTCTACGTAGAATTCCAAATGTACCACTCGATAAGTGTGACCTTATGATGATTGGAAGTATTAAAAGGGATGAAGTATACCTATAATCATGTGAAGGAACTTGTCTGAAAAAGCACACTATCTCTAAAAATCCAGTTATGCTACAAATAGTACTTTGATTAAGGTTTAGTCATATTGGTAAGTTGTATTAGGTCTAGTACTTTTCAGAAATCATTTTAGCGTGCTTAGAGAGTTGTATATTAGTAGAAAGTGTAGGGAACTTCTAGTGTTAAAGTGCCCCTAATTTGTTTCTAAAGATAACATATCGAGTATTGATATGAAACAGGACCAAGTGGAGCAAGTGGATATTGAGTATTCATTTTGCCACTCGAACTAGTTAGGATTGAGCCTCTGTTGTTGTTACTTGTTAGTGTTGCTGTTGACTGTGATTGAGGCTAATATATGAAGATTTTGACTGAATTTAGTGGGGCCGACAATTGGTACCTTCAAGAATAAGTTTTATGAGGACAAGTTGGGAACTGGAACTATATCATGGCTTCAGATGTTTCCTATAGTGAAGATTCACTTCTGTATACACACACACATGAAGATGATATTTGGTGTGCTGGCTATTTAATGAAGCCCTGAATTTGTTGCTGGTATGGTAATGAAGTTTTTTTTCTATACTTAACGCTACTCTTCCTCATGTCCATTTTTTCTGTGCAGTTGGTGTTCAGAACTTAGGAGCTCAACAATCTAGATTCTTTTTCTTCCTCAAAAGAAGCTGTAACAGGAAAGATTTTGCATCATGTCTATCTCTGTTAAAGCCTTAGAACCTGCATTTCAGGGTGCGGGTCAGAGAATGTATCCTTTGCTGCAAAAATGTGGTTCTTGATTAGTTACATGGAAGTAAGTTTGAAATGAGTATTGATCAGTTTTGAAACACTGTTGGGATTTTCTCAGCACCCTGCCTTTATGGAGGGTAGGCTGAAGACCTTTAAAATAATAATAATACTAATAATAATAATAATAATAATAATAATAATAATAATAATAATAATAATAATAATAATAATAAAGGGTACACCGAGCTTTTCCTGTAAATGTTCTGCACCTTTTATGTTCATTATTTCCACTGCCAAATATAGCTGCGAGAAATTTTTAACTTGAGAGTTATGTTAATTGTTTTACTGCCGAACGTGGCCTATAGAAAATTTCCAGACTTTAGAGTTGAGCTTAACTCTATCTAGAGGGACCGAAATTTGGAGAATTGAGGATTTCCAACCAGTTCCATTGCCGAAGTCTGAATATGGTAAATTCTACTCGGGTGATTCTTACATCGTCTTGCAGGTGCATAGATGCAAAAATCTTTGGCTTTACATGTACCTCCTTTATCTAGGGAGAAAAGCTTCATTCATGTCTAATATTCCTACTCCTATCACATGTTCATCTATAATTGCAGACAACTTCAGGCAAGGGAGGTTCTTATATGTATGATATACACTTCTGGCTTGGAAAGGATACTAGTCAGGTGTGAAATCAATCTTCATTCTTAGCAGCTATTCAAGCAGATTTATAATTTTCTTTTCCAGTTTCTAAAATGTGGATGCTATGTCAGGATGAAGCTGGAACTGCAGCTATCAAAACTGTTGAGCTTGATGCGATTCTTGGAGGGCGAGCAGTACAGCATAGGGAAATCCAAGGTCATGAATCTGACAAATTTTTATCATACTTTAAGCCATGCATTATACCACTGGAAGGTGGTATTGCGTCTGGATTCAAGAAACCAGAAGAGGAAGAATTTGAAACAAGGTTGTATATCTGCAAGGGTAAACGTGTTGTCAGGATGAAGCAGGTACAGAAGCATAAAAAACTTACTGCATGAGCTTGTTTAGAATATGTCATCTAGTTCAGTTGTGGTTGAAGATTACTTATTTAAGCTGAGATTTGTATCAGGTCCCATTTTCCCGGTCCTCTCTAAATCATGATGATGTGTTCATTCTGGACTCTAAAGACAAGATATATCAGTTCAATGGTGCAAATTCTAGCATCCAGGAGAGGGCCAAAGCACTAGAAGTTATTCAGTTCTTGAAGGACAAGTATCATGAGGGGACGTGTGATGTTGCAATTGTTGGTAAGTACAAGCCCCGGAAATTTAAACATAAGAAGTAAGCAAGTAATACATATTTATTATACTCCTTCTATCCCAGTTAAATTGCTGTAGTTTAAGTTTGTTGTTGAAATTCTTTTTCTAGCCGTCAAATATTCTTAGTCTATTTGGCTTATCTGCAGCTAAAGCATCTCTATTTGGCAGATTTCTATAGTATTTTATACTTCGTACCATGAATTTTTTTGCTTTAGAAATTATGGGTCAGATTCATTCTGAAGTTTGATAAATTTAATTGTCAAAGTTAAAGCAAGAGTTTTAGAAACAGTGTTCCTAAATTATGCATAAAATTTAGTGTGTCTACATGCTATGGATTTGTATAGTATATGCCTCAAATGATTCAATCATCTAGAATAAGGGACAAAATAAATCCGACAGAGTTCATATATATCTGTTTTTGATATATATGTCATGTTTCGGTCCTAATGAAGAGCTTCAGACCTTTTCTGTACTTCTTTTCTATTGTATTCATGTGGAACTGCTCCTTATATCTATTGCATACCCCAGATGATGGAAATTTACAAGCTGAGTCGGATTCCGGTTCGTTCTGGGTGCTCTTTGGTGGCTTTGCTCCAATTGGCAAAAAGGTTGCTAGTGAAGATGATATTGTGCCCGAGAAGACACCTGCAAAACTTTATAGGTATCGTTGAATTCTACTGTTCTATACCTGTCTTTACTGTGAGCTACATAACTATTACTCCATCAAGTTAAGCCAATTTATATTATTCCATCAGATGGACATGAACGAATTAGGTAAAGTTCTTGTTTATTGCCTGTAATTATAGTGGTAATGTTGTGGTCTCAAGCTTATGACACTTAATACAAAGTATTCAAAACATCCTTGGCTAACCTTTTACTGTTGGATAGTACTTCTTTCCACTAAAAAGGATCTTTATACTTGAATTGGTCTAGTTAATTTTTATAATATATTTGCATATCTATGTTTATTATATCCCTAGTGCTTGCTACTTTCTCATCATTGAACTTTTAAATCAACCTTTTGCTGGTGTTGGTGCTAAAGTTGAACTTTTTCCTCTTCTTGTAGCATTACTGATGGTCAAGTCAGTCCCGTGGATGGTGAACTTTCAAAATCTAGCTTAGAGAACAATAAATGCTATCTTTTGGATTGTGGTGCTGAGGTATTTATTTGGGTTGTCCGTGTAACTCAATTGGAAGAGAGGAAAGCTGCCATTCAAGCTGCAGAGGTAGAATAATAATAGCTTTTAACTCCAGATTTTTCTTTTATGGTGAAATTCTCATAACTAATTGACTAAATTTATCCGCAGGAGTATCTTACCAGTCAAAATAGACCGAAGTCAACACATGTAACCCGACTTATTCAAGGCTATGAAACACACTCATTCAAGTCCAACTTTGACTCTTGGCCTTCAGGGTCTGTACCAGCCGCTGAGGAGGGAAGAGGAAAAGTAGCAGGTATATTAGTTTGAAACTTGTAGAATTGATACTTGTTTGTTGGAAGCAGTTTTAGTTGACATTGTCGCATTTATACAGCTTTGCTGAAGCAACAAGGGGTTGGTGTTAAAGGTGGTAGCAAAAATACTCCTGTAAATGAGGAAGTCCCTCCGTTGCTTAAAGTGGGTGGAAAAATAGAGGTCTGATCATCATTATGATATCCTTTTGATATAATCCGTCTGTTGATATTGCTTGCTTGGTCTTTGCTAAAATTGTATGATTTTACTAGGTCTGGCGTATCAATGGCAGTGCAAAGACCCCTGTGCCCGGAGATGATATTGGTAAATTTTACAGTGGAGATTGCTATATAGTTCTTTACACATACCACTGTAATGACAGGAAAGAAGATTATTATCTATGCTGGTGGATTGGAAAGGATAGCGTTGAGGTAATGTATATTGTCATTGCATTATAAGGGTTTACACATCTTTTCCTGTTATAATATTTCAATTGACATGCCATTTTAGATATAAGGATGAAACTTCATCAATTCTTTTTAATTATATCTGAAAATGGTATGCTCATAAATAGAGATAAGAAACAAAGGTCTACAGTCCTTGTTATTTTCATGTAATTGAATTGGATCTGTTTGGATGACCTTGTAAAATCTTTCTTCCCTACTCCTTGCTGTAGACTCGAAAAAGATTGAGAAAGGAAACAGAAATGAAAATGTGATGCCGTCATATAAGAATTTCATCTTTCGTGAACAAGCTTCATAGCATAAACTTGCTATGAATATGCCTCATCTGACTTGTACAGAGATTTAGAGAAATTTCTTTTGTAGAAATGTCTAGTATAATAGTTGAAAATTGAAATGCATAAATTTAAGGTATTATGTTTTAAGAATATCAGGTACGACAGAAAGTAATATAGTGCTATAGTAGGTTCTTTATGTTAGTTTGAATGGTTGGAGTTTGATGAACTTTTCCTTTTAGCTAAAGCAGAAAAAGTAAAGCGGAAGGGACTGAAAAGAAAGTGAATTTGGGATTGATGGACTCTTTATTTTCACATTGTAGTCCTTTCTTCTTTATTTCATGTATATGATAAATTTGAAGGCTTTATCCAGTCCATTGTACGTTGTGGATTCAGGAGGACCAAAACATGGCTGCTAAATTGGCCAGTACAATGTGCAATTCACTTAAAGCGAGACCAGTGCTGGTATTACTTCTTGACACCTCTTCTTTTCTTTCTAGAAAACAGTAAGAGGTTTTAGTATGACCTGTAACATTATCCAGGGTCGCGTATATCAAGGGAAAGAACCACCACAATTTGTTGCAATCTTCCAGCCCATGTTGGTCCTTAAGGTACCCCTTATTCAGTGTAATGCCGGCTACTGCTGTAGGATGTAATTTATCATATTTTAAAGCATAATGAATTTCTATCATTTCTCAGGGTGGATTAAGCTCTGGTTATAAAAGTTATATTGCAGACAAGGGCCTGAATGATGAAACTTACACTGCTGATTCTGTGGCACTGATTCGATTATCTGGAACTTCTGTGCATAACAACAAAGCAGTTCAAGTCGATGCTGTATGCTTATTACCCCTTTTAGATTTCTTCTCGTTTTGGGTTACTATGTAATAAATTTGATGATTTTTTTAGTAGTCTGGGGCTGATAAGGTCATTCTTTATATCTAGGGTATGTGTTTCCCTATTTACTGTTGTGGTCAGTTCTTCTTTGTTACATGTATCAGTTGTATATTAGAGCCTCTCATATTCTCTCTTCAAGTCATAGCCTATTTTCAGAAGTCTATAACCTGCCTCTAAATTTCCTGCATCAAGAGGTGCATAAGGCAACTGTGCACCCTCCCACTTCTTCTGAGAAGAGCAAAATTATAACAATGCTTTGATTAGTATGTGCAAAATACTTGAGTGGTTAAACTTATGATCTACACAAGCTATGCAGAATAAGGCTCAACTAAGTACTCAATTAGGCAATAGGAGATCAAGCGTCCTCAAATTCAAATTTAATGTATTGTTATTAATGGTGGAGACTGGAGAGGCATGTCTTGTTGTCCATGCAACTCGACTGGCTTAGTGTATGACTCTGTTTTCTAATGCTTACCAACTTAAACTTGCAACAGTAATTACGGCGACAAGTTATAGTGAACTCTATTGTGAACTTATGATAGTAAATTTGAAAACTGGATTACTTATTTTATATTTTTGTTTCTAAACTCTGTCAGGTGGCAACTTCACTGAACTCTAATGAGTGTTTTCTTCTGCAATCTGGCTCTTCAGTATTTAGTTGGCATGGAAATCAGAGTAGCTATGAGCAGCAGCAATTAGCAGCAAAAGTTGCAGAATTCATGAAGGTGAGAACTTTTCTTGAATTTGAGAATGTGCTATCTTTGTCATTGTTCTGTCAACTTAGAAGGGCCTGATCTTTTAAGTTCTGCTATACAAGGTAATAACCTACTCTAAATGGAAAAATTGGATCATTTTATCCTTCCTTGATGAAAACTGTTAGGAATTTGCGTCATGGATAGTAATTAAAATGTGTTTCTTCGTTGTTCTTTTCAAATTAGAAGGGCCTGAGGTTACCTACCCTGAGGAGTACTCATATACAAGATGGTTAACTACCTTGAGAAGTGTCCCAGTTATCATTCCTTGACGAGAATTGTTAGGAGTTGTAATGTCGATAGTAATTGTTTTAGGGGAAGTGCTTTAATGGCCTAATAGTGATATTTCCACTGTCAAGATCTGGCTTTCCGTGTTATGTGTTTTGAAAAATCTGGCTTGCAGTTTTTCATGGGATTTGCATTTTTATCTCTGTTGGTGCCTGATGAGGATGCAATCAGCTTTTTTGACGAAAACCTTGTTTTTCAGAACGTGATAAGATGTTTCTGTGTATGTGAAACGTGATTTCCTTAAAACACACTGAAGAAAACACATTAAAACTTTGAAGAACCTAGTTCGATCAAATTATGGTCACCAGGTTGTGATACAAGTCCTTCAGTGACCCAAATCCTTTTAATACAACCTCCACTTATATAGCCAGCGTGGCAATGAAACATAGTACCCACCATACTGAACTTTTTCCAAATAAACAGTGGTAAAGTTTGAAATGATTGCACAAACACCTCTCCACCTGACATATGTCCTGATTGTCCGTTATCTAAGTGTATCCTATTTGTCCTAGTTTATGCTGCGTTTGTCTGATTGTTATTGGTTTTCTTCAACTCAGCCAGGAGTAACTGTGAAACACGCTAAAGAAGGAACAGAGAGCTCAACTTTCTGGTTTGCTCTTGGCGGAAAACAAAGTTACACCAGCAAGAAAGTAGCTTCAGAGGTCGCCAGAGATCCCCACTTGTTTGCTTATTCAATTAATAAAGGTGCATCCGTGATCTCTTAATGTCATCAGATTCTTGATTGCAAATAAGAAAGTGTGTGTTTTAACTTTCTTAGATATCTCTTTTTTTTTGGTAAACAAAAAGTGTTCTATGCTAACTATCTTTTCTATTGATTTTCATGCAAATATGTGGATGTTCAGGAAAATTTGAGGTAAGGTCCTAGAATACAAAATTAAGCTTTTTAATGCATGAAGAGCTCGTATATCTGGTTTAATTTTTGCTTTACTCATTTGATAGATTGAGGAAATCTACAACTTCTCTCAAGATGATTTATTGACTGAGGATGTTTTATTACTTGATACACATGCCGAAGTGTTTGTTTGGGTTGGTCAGTCATCAGATCCCAAAGAAAAGCAAAGTTCTTTTGAAGTTGGACAGGTAATACACGGTATCATAGGCATTTGATAAGTGTGTTTTTTCTGTTCTTAATTATGCTTCACTAACCGTTGAAGTCCCGCAGAAATACATCGAGATGGCTGCATCTTTAGAAGGGTTGTCTCCTAATGTTCCACTGTATAAAGTCACGGAAGGAAATGAGCCTTGCTTCTTCACAACATTTTTCTCCTGGGATCCTGCTAAAGCTATTGTAAGTGACTAAATCTCTCTTTTGGTCATCTTGTTCCGGAACTTTATTATATAAAGTTTGAAATGACATTCATGACACCATCTAAATAACATCAGCCACTAAGGGATGGGAAGGTCTCTTTATATAGTCTTGAGCAATCCTCACCTCACGAGGTAGCTTTTGGATTGAGTTAGGCCCAAGGTCCATTTATCAACATGAAACCATTGCATCTATCATCTTTTAAGCTTTTTATAAACTTTGGAAGGTGGATGGAAAGATGGTGTAACAGCCAGCCCACTAGTGATATTCTCCACTTTGGGCCTAAGCTTGTGTGGTTTCAACAAGCATCACTAGGTCTAAGGCTTGTTTCTTTATATACCCAGTGTCTCTCCCGTATTTTGTGAGATTTCCCTAAACTCAATTGAACGCTGAGGTTTATCCCACCATCAACCAGTATTGCACGCGGAATGCCTCTGATATCATATGCACAAACCAGTCTACTAGTGATATTGTCCGCTTTGGGCCTAAGCTCGCCCAGATTGGAACACGTTACTACGATCTAAGGCTTATTTCTTTATATACTAGGCATCTCGCCCATGTGTTTTTTCCGATATGGAATTTGCCTAGTGTGTTATAGATGGTACAAGAGCTAGTACATAGCATAAACTGCCAGAGACCTAGCCAAACTTGTAATAAGCAAATATTGTAATTGCGAAGAAGAAAGTCCTTAAACTAATAATCATAGACGCAAGCCAGTAAAAGATACTTGGTGTACACAATAAATTGCTATTGATATACTGGGAATAAAAAAAGATGTAAACCTGTCATATGCAAAAGGATTTTGTTATAGAAAGGTAGGAAGAAATTGGCAGTAGCACTATAGTGTTAAATGCCCCAAAATGTTTGGGACTGAGACATAGTTATTGCAGTATGGTATTAAAGGGAAAATCCAATTTGCGCGGCTACGTGAGATAATATAGAGAACCACCTCTTTCCAAATTTAATGTGTAGTTAGGTCAACCGACTTTTATTTGGTCCTCATTACTGAGCAACTTCTCGATTGCTAGCGGACATCTATATTTTGTCTCATCAAATATCTTGCAATGTTTTCTAGTTCTGGTAAAGGATTCTGACATACGTTATTCAACATACCTATTTAACCAGGCACATGGAAACTCGTTCCAAAAGAAGGTTATGCTACTCTTTGGGGTCGGTCATGCTTCAGAGGTAACTATATTTCATAAAAGCAAGATGTATTTCCACATAAATTCTTTATGCTTCTGTGCAAATATTTTCCATTATAGACATTTCAAATCATCTGAGTTTCAGGAATCACAAACTCTAATTAATACTATTTCTTTCGGAGACCAACATATCATCATTTTATCATGCTTTCCTCCAACTTAAGCTGTCCATACTAGAACCATATTCAACGAAGTTAGTTACATTTTCAGTTGATATTCCTAGTTCCGAAAGCTTCATATTTCTGTCACTGGTTCTCTTTATGATATTGTTAGAACTGTACTATCATGGTTATTAGTTGTGGAAAAGTTGATTCTGTTATGACTTCCAACCAACCGAATTTGTGAAATACATTATTTGTCGAAGCTTCCATGCATTTTATATAAGACCTTTTGCTCTATATTTCAGAATCAGCAAAGGTCCAATGGGACAAATCAAGGTGGAGCAACCCAAAGAGCTTCAGCTTTGGCTGCTTTGAACTCTGCATTTAGTTCATCATCTCCAGCAAAATCCAGTTCTGCGCCAAGGTATGCAGGGAAAAGTCCGGGTTCACAAAGAGCAGCTGCAATAGCTGCTTTATCTTCTGCTCTTAGTGCCGAAAAGAAGCAGCCACCTGAGGGCGGCTCTCCTCTCCGATTAAGTAGAACTTCATCAGTAGATGCTATTGCCCCTGGTATAAAAATCTTTCTTGCACTTCTATTGTACAGTTATTTCCAGATCCTTCCCTTTCCAATCAGATCATATGCTGTGAATCCTCTATTAGTGTGTGTTCTGTGTACTTTAAAAGTGCTTCCTACTCTATATTTTATTATTTCAGACAAGACATTACTAAGCTTTAGTCATTGGTATGTCAGTAGGTACGTCGTATGTATATACATACATGTGTATATATGTGCATTGATGTATGTTTTCATCGTGCTCTTTATTTGATGATCTAAAAGTGTTACTTAGAAATTGATGACTCTTAGCTTTCAGTGAAAGATTGTTGATGAGAAACCGTTGCTACTTGCTAGCATAGAGTCGTTGGAAATTCAACTTTCAAGCTGACCAGTATTACTTAATTGTCTTTAAAGCAAAATTCTTTGCTAAGTATGATATATATGAACGCTTTTTTCTTATTTCTGCCGAACAGTGAATGAAGTTTCTACTGTTGAGATTGAAGATTCTAAAGAAGTTCCAGAACACAAGGAGATCGAAACAGCAGAGCCTGCAGAGACTGATGGGGAGGACGTGGAACCGAAGCTTGAGCCAGAACAGGTTGAGACTGGCAACGATAGTAACCAGACTACATTTAGCTATGAAAGACTGAAGGCTAAATCTGAAAATCCTGTCACTGGGATTGATTTTAAACAGAGAGAGGTTTGTGCTCAAGTATTGTTCACATTCCTACATTCTGATGAAAGTCAGTTCCTTTTTCTTATTTTTATTGATGGATTCTCAGGCTTATCTTTCTGACGAGGAATTCGAGTCAGTACTAGAAATGACAAAAGAAGCTTTCTATAAGTTGCCTAAATGGAAGCAAGATATCCACAAAAAGAAAGTTGATCTCTTCTAGAACCAAGATATCCACAATCTATGGGTACATATTGCTTTGATTGGTACTTTCATTTTGCTGTCTGCTTTTTCTCAGAACCAAGTTTTTGGTGTTGTGGTTTTTTTTCACTTTGTGATGCCTGCTTGAAGAGTGATATTTTTTGAGTTCTCTCTTTTACTGTAGTTGAAAATCAGCAGTCAGGTCAATTCTTTGATTTCCTAACACATTATGTATTGAGGTCACTTTTGCCAATCATTTTTTTGTTAATTAAAGGGTGTGTACAGACTTTATATTATTTATAACTGATGCAGTAGCTATCTGCTTCTGCTTTTGTTCAAGTTTCTTTTTTCTTACTTGTTTAGATGAATAGTTATTTTTTCCAATACTATTGCTTGGAAAGTTCAGTAGGTAGAGTTACTTCTTCTTGGACTTGAAATATTGAATGCTGGAGCAATCTTAGTTCCACAACGTAAAGTAAGTATGTATTGACTATAGTGGAATTTTTTTTTATTATTGAAATTATTTGCTAGTGTTTGATTATGTGAATTATTAAAAAACACATCAAAAATATTTTTTATCTGAAAAAAGGAAAAAGAATTATGTCATTATTGAAATGGAGAAGTCATTGCCTTTGAATATGTTTCAACTTATATTCTCTAAAAAAACAGTGTTCGTAAGAACCTCCACTTTGTACATTATACACAAAGTTGTGCAGTATGTCAAGTATTGTAACAACTCACATGACTCATAAATACATTACATGGATCTACCGACTCCCAAGACACTAGAAAATAATTTATAAAATAAAATACAGTTTACTTAGAAACAGTTCTATGTTATACTACTAGACATTGTATGTTTACATATAAACATTTTTGGATGACTAGTTGCAAAAGATTATTACAATAATTTTCGGTAAAGTTTAGCATACTGTAGGTGTGTTTGGTATAATGTAAATTATTTTTAAGAAAAAAAATTCTGATAATTTGTTTACGAGCGTAGTTTCACTTCTCCGGGAACGATGATCACCGGGCTCAATCAGTTCTCGAATGAAATAACTAAGAATCTTCTATACCACCGTTGGTCATGATCATCTCAGGAATCAACAATAACTCGTTTACTTCGAGCATTAAGGGTAAACACCCCAGCACAGGAAAAGCTTAGGAGAATAAAGATGGCAAAAAATGAAGTTTACCGAAACCAAATTCAATAAGAAAAGGATGCAAGTCACAACTCTTCAAACTATCGGCATATTTGAGCTAAGCAGACATTAAAATAACAACAAAACTCCTCAATCATTGGGTCAATTGCGAGTTGGAGCCCGAGAGTAAACGAGTACGTGCACATGAATGAGAGCCTTCATGGTAGCTGGTTATTCGTTCATTATCTTGAGAAGCTTCAATAGGGAAATTTGATTTATTTAATGGTAATCGTTTTAGATATTAGAACAATGAAATATACACAGTGGTTTGATAATAGAAGGGTAATTGTCAACATGATCGTTACGACCATCCTTCTGACCACCCATCTTGTTCCATTGGGCGCAGTCAACAGCAAAGTTGAATTGTTTGGGTATAATCTCAGAATATAAGGGTTCGGCTATAGGTGCTGCAACATCCCCGATTTATCCTGCTTCTTATTCTTAAAAGAAGGCCTAGTTGTAGAGAAACTCCCTACTCGCCATCAGTGCAAAGCCAGGAAATTCAATAAGTCTATGCAAGGGTGTTCAAAGTCTATTTTTAATCAATAACAAGTAATATTTTACCTTATATGTAGTATATTTTTTGGCTAAGGGTGGTTACTTGACCACCCTTGGACCAATATAGCTTCGCCGATGCTCGCCATGGAACCAAGACGGTAAAGTCTTCCTCCTCTTCTCCTAGACCTAACGGGGGCTTCAATGTTTGGTAACTCATCGATTATAATTACCCGATGAGGACAAACTTCAGGGTTAGAAGACGCAAAAGGATTTGAGAAGTCATGACTGTGACGAAGAAAATAAAGTAAAGGAAAAGCAAGAAAGAAAGTGAAGAAAGAGCACGCAAGAAAAAAGATGAATGGATACAAATAAAATAGGAGTAAGAGACGGAAAGGTTTGAGGACTTCGTATTCATAGGAGAAATATGTCATCATGAGCCTCACATAGAACTGTCACTTCGAAGTCATATACCCGCCAATGCCTAAGGAAACCATTGTAAACTGCAGAGCTAATCGCGTTGCGCTACGTATCTCGAGCATTAAATGGAAGCGGCACATGTCGCTTCACTATCTGCAGCATATCACTAGAATTTCGGGATGAAGCGACGAACACTCCTATAATTTTCGCTAAATAAATTCTTTACCACTTTCCGAATAATTATTCGAGATTATCCTGAAAGTGGAAGGATTATCTGTATTGGTAAAAGGTAGTATTATCATGTGCACTAATAGAGTCTTGACACATGTTAAGAATATTAGAAAACTCCAAAAAAGTTGAATCCGATATCAATCGAAGTTTAGAATTATCCAGTACCGTCGTTATTAGTATTGTAACCATTAGTACCTGAATCGCTATATAACGAAACCATTCATGAGTCAAACACGAAGAATCTATCGTGGATACGGAAAAGAGGGGCATCAGTCAATCTTGAGTAAACCGAAACTTGGTATAATTCCCTAATCAGTTACCGATTCATAGCGTAATGTGCAGAAAACACAATTAATAGGTGTAACGAGCACACGAGATTGTATACGGTGGAAATCGGCGCTACCCGATTTTGTTCTCCAATGGAAAATGTGATACCATGTCGAGAGGTTAGGATGCCGAGCTCGGGGACGAGGCTCCTTTCCAATATCGAGGTCGAGGTCGATAACTTTAATTCGAGGTCAGAAGAAGGCCCATTTCGAGATAATACCGTTATGGTTCAATAACAGAAAGAGCGAGATTCCCACAATGGCCCGAAGATCACGGCGTAAATTCCGGAATGGATTCGTCCTTGGCGGTTAGACAATTGTCCAATTAGATTCCATACTATAATTAGAAGTGTACATTATTTAGGATTCCCCTATTATATAAAGGAGGGCTCATTCATTTGTAAGAGACGATTCATTAACAAGAGAATATACATTCATCACTTTCTTGCTTACTGTTCATCAGAGTTGCCTTATAATTTACTGTTCTTACTAGCCCATCTCGAGACTGTCATAGCTCGAGGTCGAGACTTGGCTTGCATACTGGTTTGACTTGCTTTATTCTTCAATTTTTATATATTTAACTCCTTGTTTATCAATTGGTATTCAAATAAATCACATATCTTTAAAACCACAATATAAGTTTAATTGTTATTCGGATTTTAGGGTAAACAGTTTGGCGCCCACCGTGGGGCTAAGGATAATAGTGATTGTTTCAGTGCTGATTCTGATAACACACGTTATTTTCACACTTGTTCTTATCAAGAATTTTTGTTCTCGGGTTAAAACATATCAAATTCACAAAACGCACCCGCACATGGTGATGATGGTCTTAGATTTCACGGGAAAAATGATAACGTAATTGCTCCAGGAGCCGGGGTGCCACCGGCTAATCTCGGGGGAGTGTCGGTCTATCCAGTCGATATCAGTTCACACATTGCTTTGAATGCGGATTTAGGCGCAGACCCCGAAGGGAGTGTACGCAGGGAAGGCCGGTCTGGTGGCCAAGGAACACAAGGCGTAGGAGACGGGGCAGTCAGTCTCCAAGTAATATTCGAGATGCTACAGGCTCAGTAGGTTGCTATCGGTCAGCTTCAAAGTCAACATAGAACCCCGAGTGTGGTCGAACCAGAGATCACTCACCGTACCGAGCCAGTGCCAGAAAGATCATGGTAACAGATCAGGGACTGATCCTGCAATTATGAAGATGCTCGAGGAGCTCACCAAAAGAATCGAGTTGGAAGAGAATAAAATCGATAATGATAAAAAGGGTAGAAACATACAACTCCCGGGTTGATCAGATACTGGGGGCACCCCCGATCTTGAAAGGTTTGGATGCAAAAAAGTTCGTGCAAAAGCCTTTTCCTCAGAGTGCAGCTCCAAAGCCAATTCCTAAGAAATTCTGTATGCCGGATATACCTAAATACAACGGGACAATCGATCCTAATGAACATATCACTTTCGTACACATACGAATTAAAGGAAATGACTTAAATGATGACGAGATCGAGTCAGTTTTGTTGAAAAAAATTGGGGAATTTGTCAAAGGGAGCAATGATTTGGTATCACAACCTGCCGCCAAATTCCATCGACTCATTTGCCATGTTAGCAGACGCCTTCGTGAAGGTGCACGCCGGGGCCATAAAGGTCGCAACAAGGAAATCAGACGTTTTTAAGATAAGACAGAGGGGTGATGAAATGCTGAGGGAGTTCGTATCCCGATTTCAAATGGAACGCATGGAGTTTCCATCGGTCACAGATGATTGGGCCGTTCAAGTTTTCACCCAAGGGTTGAACGAACGAAGTTCGATAGCATCATGGTAGTTGAAACAAAACTTGGTCGAGTATCCAGCTGTAACCTGGGCAGATGTGCACAACCGATATCAATCGAAGATCAAGGTCGAGGATGACCAATTAGGATCCCCTCCGGTTCAGTACATCTAAACAGGTTAGCAGTTAAAACCCAGAGGGACATCGACAGGGAACCAAGGTCGAACAGGGAGCGATATCAACCATATACCGCGGATCGAAGGAACAATGGCTCAAGATGCAATCCTCCCCGGAATGATCGAAGGAAGGATCGAGGAAACAATTCTAGGGGACTTATGAGTAAAAACGGTTTTGATAAGCATGTCGATCCCGTGGAGGCACCTCGATTGTCGGAATATAACTTTAGTGTTAATGCATCAGGCATTGTGTCGGCAATCGGAAGCATCAAAGATACTAGATGGCCCAGACCCATGCAAACCGATCCTTCCCAAAGAAACCCAAATTTAATGTGCAAATATCATGGCACGCATGGTCACAAAACCGAGGATTGCAGGCAATTAAGGGATGAGGTAGCCCGTCTATTCAACAAGGGCCACCTTCGAGAGTTCCTTAGCGATCGAGCCAAGAATGATTTCAGTAACAGAGACACCAATAGGAAAGATGAACAGGAGGAACCGAATCATGTTATTCATATGATCATCGGCGGAGTCGATATTCCACAAGGGCCCGTATTCAAACGCACTAAGGTGTCAATTACTAGGGAGAAGTAGACCTAGGATTACATACCCGAGGGTTCCTTATCGTTCAACGATGAGGAAGCAGAAGGCATTTCTCAACCACACAACGACGCCTGGTAATTTCTATCTTATTGAATAAAGTTCAAGTTAAACGTGTTTTAGTGGATCTAGGTAGTTCGGCGAACATTATCCGATCGAGGGTCGTGGAGCA